GATGAATTAATGCATATTCATATTTATTTTAGAACTACAGTAACATCTTCTGATTTCTGTCACCATGGCAACACCAGAGCTGTCAATCAATAAATTGTGGAAAAAAAGTAACGCGTTACTTATTTGAAAAATTAACTCAGATATTCTCTTGTAAATGAAAAAGTAATGCGTTACTTTACTAGTTACTTGAAAAATGTAATCTGATTACGTAACTCGCGTTACTTGTAATGCGTTACCCACAACACTGGCTAATTGTGCAAACACCTTTCTTTGTCTGCGAACACATTGGCAGGTTTTACCTTTCCCTGCACGGATGCATTATCTCACCTGTCTCACTGTTCTTGTGATCAAGTTTATTTTTCTCTGCCTGTCCCTCGCCAGGGGTCCTGTAAGCCTGAGGGTTAAGGATCCGGGCTGCTAGCATAAAGATTGTGAGTTCAAATCCAGGTAAGGACAAAATATGACCAGGAGAGTTACAAAGGTCCCTTCCTGCCCTATTATGACTATGCTGTTGTGGAAGGCATCTCGGCACATGTTGTTCCAATTAGCGTGCTGTCCGTAAATCCCTTTAAATTTAACCTGAATATGAAGATATGTCTTTTACCCTTATTCAAGTCCCTGGTTATTAAAATCGGAAGTAGCTACAGATCATGTCTTCCATATTGTCGCGTACATCAGAGTGAATTGTATTATTGAAAGGAAAGCGTGTGGAGATTTGGTCAATAACATGCATATAGAAAATAGATAGGGTGAAATTCCATTTCTTGATGACTTCAACATTAAACTTTGTTGTCAAAAATGTTTACATGATATGTACAAGAGTGATGACACATCTCTATCATCAGTTGCATCAGCAGTATCCCATATGTGCCCTCAGAGCTCTGCAAAAAAAAAAGCTCTGGTAGCTTACTTCCCAAAATAAATTACTCTTAGAGGCAATTCTTTTAAAAGTCAGCATGAAATGGAAATTGGGATTGTCTTTTCTTCTTTATTGTGACATATCTGAATGAAACTGCTTCTTGAATGAGAAAGTAATGTAGGGCAGAACCTGATTTTGTCCATTAGGAATTTATTTGGATCTTTGTTATTTGCCTATTGCGGAGACAGTTTCATGTAGTCACAAGTTTGCTGGAGGCGGGATTAAAACTCGCCTGGGTGGACACATTAATGTTTCTGATTAAAGTTTATGAGGGCACATGTTCCTTTTTTACATTTTTTTTTTTTTTAAATAATATGCATAATAATGTGCATGGCTAATCTGTAACAATCTGTAAATCTGTAAGAATATCTAAATGTGTATTCATTTAATAAACATTTCAGCTTCTTTCCCGCCACAAAATCAATGTGGAAAATGCACCGTTCGCAGATTCCCCATGGACCCTGTCCATAAAGGATCTTTTTTTTTTTCTCTCCAGCTGATGGGGGAGAACAGGATCCTGTACCTCTACTGGAAGCATTGCAGGCTATTTGCCATCCAGTGAGGCTTCAAGCATCACACACCACTGCCAGGAATTTGGCCTGGATCTGAAATTCTGCGCAATGTTGCCTGGAATCTGGCCTTGATTTAGGACTCACCAAGCGGCAAAAGCAGCTGAGAGAAGGCTGGCCTGGCGCTTGGGACGCCCAGTGTATGATAATGAGTGTGGTATTGCCACTTTCACACCATGTTAACAGGGAGTCCCCAAGGCCCCTTAACCATCATGCTGACAGATGCAAACACTCTACTGAGTCTAGTTCCAGTAACTGTCTTTCTTCACAACATGAACACCAATGTACCCACAACTTAGCACCTAAGACAGGAAGATGGCTGAATATAAACTCATGACCACAACTGTGAAGGCAGCTTCCTTGTGAACCAAACCAACTGTGTACCGTGAAGACAGCAAGCCCTGAAATAGCCATTTGTTGATGGCTAATCTGGCCATTTCAGCTACCAGGTTACCCAATAAATTCTCTCTTATATATTTATGTAGTTATCGTTGTAGCATTCAAGCAGTTCAGCATGACTGTCATTTCAGAGAAGCTTCCAGAGAGGCCCGTATGAAGAAGTACATGATCTACGTTCTACATGATGGGTGAAAAAAACATGCTTATTATCCTCACAAGGGCCCATTTAATCCGTACAGGCAGGACAACGAAACTAGAGCTGCAATGGCTGCATCATGGCCAGGACGGTCCTGAAGAAGGGAGGAAACAGACACCTCGCAGCAACTAGTTCATCACAGAACTGAGATGATTCTCACCAAACAGCACAGGTTTAAATAACATCCATAAAAAATTATTTATACTGAGCCTTCTGGCATGGTGCTGTGGAAAAGCTGAAGCAGAAGCGTTTGTATGGACTCATTGAGTCGGCATTGACTTTGTTGAACTCACTCAGGAAATTCTTTCCATGCTTCATGAACAATGTTTGCTTTCTTGAGCTAAAATGCACCACTTAAACAAAGGTTTGTTTATTTTCTCGTTGGGTATCCAACTGTACGATTAATGAGGAAAAACTTTCAAGCCCAGAGCCTGGATAACAAACAGACCTGTTACTTCCACAACAAGTCAATAAAGCCCAAAATGGATCAAATATGTTTGTGCCAACCTAAACCAATAAATAAAGTCAATTTATGGTCCTAATCCTGCTTAATTTTGACAGATCTGACAGTTATGCAAATTATAATTAAAAAAAAGACTAATAAAAGAGCAGCTAAGATAAATAACATGGTCATACATACATGACATAATGCTTTTTCTTCAAAAACGAAACAATGGTCAATCACAGCCAACACAACCCACATGTCAGCTGCTTAAACATCTCATTCATTTCACTACACTGAACATTTCAAGAAACATTTCAATCAAATATTGAACTTCTGTTATTATTTTTATCTATCTTTCTTCTGTGAAACACAAACGGAGACTGACAGCCCCAGTCACCGTTCACTTTCATTGCATCTTTTTCCATACAATTAAAGTGAATGGTGACTGAGGCTGTCGTTCTGTCAAACACGTCGGTTTGTTTTCCAGGTAAGAAAAAAGTCCTACAGGTTTGTAACGACATAGGGGTGAGTAAATGATGACAGAAGTTACATTTTCTGGGTGAATTATTTCTTTAAGGTCTTTATTTACTCTTTATTCTGACTGGCCTGATTTTGTACAGTGGCTGTCAGTGATGTCTATAGCAAAATCATTCGCTAAAGCAAAGCAAATATTGTCTCAAACATATAATTACAAAGGCAAGCACAATTTAATAGACCGCGAGAACTGATCATCTGTCTGCTGCTGTCCAGCACATCACACCATAATAAAACGCGTATGTCACATTTCCTGCCGCACTATGACATCAATAACACTGCAACACGTTCAAAATAATAATCAGATTCAACCATCGTTTGCGAAGCGCAATGACATACAGAACCGAGTCTAATGCATATGAAATCAAATTTGACTTGCTGTTGCACGAGCGCAAACGCATAAGAGACAGGCAGGTGGTTAGTCATGTCTATATATTAACCGCAATGCGTTAAATACATAAAATATGAGCACATGTTCATAAATGAGTGGTGTATGATAAAAGCCTATACGTACCATATCTGAGGATGGAGAGTGGACTAGGTTTGTTAATCTACACTAGACTGCAGCGATGCTCCGCTCTCAGTTAAAGCTCCACCGTGCGACTGTCGCTCGCAGAGTATTGAAGGTGATCCGGTACTATATACAATGGTGTATTCCTCCGCCGTACGGACTCCTATCACTCACTTCCGCATAGAGCAGTCATAAGCCCCGCCCACCTACTTATCATAATCACCTCAGTCGCCAGAAGAAAAAGTGTTTATTTATGAAAGATATAGGCTAATATCGAAATATTATGTATAATATGTACAATGTAATATGCAAATGTAACATGTACAAGTATGTATAATATGTACTTAAGTACATGAAATCTGACAATTTCTGGTATGTCTATATAATTTTTGTTCATCACTTTTGGAACAAACAGCATATTTACAATACTGCATGTAAACGTTCAATATGTAAAATAACAGGTTTAATATTATTTATTAATAGTAATATTATTTATTAATAATGCAAATTTAGTGCCCTAATTAGCATTTCCTTATTAAATCATTTAAATATATGAGTAAGCAGTGCAGATGAACAATGTGCATTTAAGATGTCATTAAAAAAAGAATAATAAATACGCAAACACACACACACACACGTGTCCAGTATTTAATTTTCACTTTATTGTTGTAGGAAAAACATACAAAAATATTTTACAGATTAAAAACATTCTAATTCTTACCGCAAATGACCAATTAATATGTTCTGTAAAAAGTTGTGTAGAAACACAGAAGTTGGCCTGACTAAAATCTAAAGTAAATTAATCTATTAAAACGATAGGCCTACAAGTGATAAGCAAAAATGTTATTCATATGTGACAATGTTATGGAAAAATTTAGAGAAAGAAGAGTATTATAATAAAAAAAAACTTTTTATTATAATACTTTCGCATTCAAAAATTTGAGCCCTATTGTGCATTAAGTCATTTGTCACAGAGAAAAATCCATTCCATTGGTCTCTTAATTAATTAACCAAATAAATCCCAGTGAACAGTTACATTTGATTCTGATACTGAAAACTCAGTAACAAATAAATAAAACATGAAAATAATTGTTTTAATATAATATTATAAATAGGAATATAGGATACAAATGAAAAAGTCAGTTATTAATTAAAAATAACAGAATCTATATATAAAAAATAAGGACAAATCGACATTCAGTGTAATAATTTTTGGGGGTCACAGTACTAAAAATAGTCTAAGAACACCACATCTTGAGGGACTACTTCTCTAAAAGGCACTAGTTTCTTTCGTCGGAATATTACTTATTGCATCAAGTCCTCTTTGTTGACGCTAGAGAGATTTCGGCTCAGCATGTCACAGCTTTTATGATTGGGCAGTTGAGACCTGCAATCCGCTCGTGACTATAACAGCGTTTCTGATTGGTTACGTTAGACCTGCAATGCGTCAAGCCATTGCGCTCAGTGTGTCCCGGATCACGCAGCACTGGAACCGGCGGGCCAACAAGCCCTTCGGTTAGACAGGACAGGGCTGATTAAATTTCTCTCCCGGGATCAGCTCTCATATTATAGACTCACCGTGAGACTCCTTCACATCCACAAAGCTAAGGTTTAATCGAGTTTCATAGAAAGAAATGGTTAGCACAGAGTGCTGTGCTCCTTGTCTAGTTATATAAAGCGAATTGGAGAAAGTCGCAGATTTAAAAGAACACTTCAAACAGGGTGAAATGAAGGTTGTTGCAACGGAAATAAATATATCGATGTTATGATGATAATGACAGAATTTCACTTGCCAGGACCAACCGTTTGTTAAATGTACGCAGTAAAGTTTTGCTAAACTAGTACTATAATTGATGAACTTCTGATGGACTATTTTGTTCTTAAACTACCGTACAATAAAATTGCTTAAAATATCTTAATCACCATGGAAAATATTTTACCCCACTATTTTCCCTCAGCGGTGTTAACGAAACAGGTTCATGAACGGGTCAATTTTTTTTGCGTCAACAGAAATCCCTTGAATTCACGATTCCTTCACGCTCACGCAGTGTACCGAATCAGTTTATCGAATCAACAAATCACTGATTCATTAAACCGAGAACAGTCTCTATGCCGAGCATATCCGATTCGTAATGTGCAGGTTGATGATACCAGTTTTTGGATTTTGATTATTTAATGGGGTGAAATGCACGTTTACTATAAGAGCGGGAATATTACAAATTAAACGAACTGGGAAATATATTTGACTTGGCCTGTGTGATATTTTTATCAACACGCATAAGAGTTGGTTTAGACATGCTAACACTTTTGTTTGAGGTAGAAGATGAACTTTAGTATTGTTTGCAAATTTTATTATTGTAAATTATTTTTAGGTTCTAAATGACTCTTTTTGTGAGCCTGCATCTATGTCGTAATTTTGTTTCATGACATAAATGAATTGCTGAATCATTTCTGGAGTTGGTAACTGTTCGAAAGAACCGATTTGCAGAAATGAATCTTTTCATCACAGCACGCACGCTTTCTTTCCAGGTCGCAGGCGGATGACGTACCCGGCGCGCGTCTGTTTTGATCTGTGTGAAGTAACATGGCTCTTTTCCCGTCCTGCGCTGAACTGTCAGGCAATAACAGCTCTACTGGGGATAGAGGTAAGCTACAGGATCAGGTCTGGTGCACTTGATATTGCATTAAAGAAAGAGAACCTGTAAACGATGCCTAACAGTTGTGCTGATTATTACTATAACTGCTGCATGATTTACTGTAACTGTGAGCAGCTGCATTACACGTTGATTAACAGTAATAATATGTGCATAACAGCCTTTATATTTAAGTATAATTTTAGTGTCAGTTTTAATTTTAGGCTAACTTTAGCTCATCTGTAGTATTATACTTCTGTTGGAAAGTACTGCATTGAACTGAATCCTTTCTGAAGCATCTCTGCTCCTCAGTTCTCTTAAAATATAAAAACACTGCCACATAGATTATTATAAGATGTAAAGCATTCGAAGTGCAAACATTTGGTGCATTATGTTAGGAACTATTTCCTGTTTTCATTTTAGCAGTGTTCTGGTACACTAGATTTTTGCTTTTTCTGAAAACAATATTGCCTGTGTAAAATGTCTTTATGTCCATACACAAACATTTGTGACAATTTACACGGGTTTAAATTTAAGGGTTTAATACTTGGGGTTTGTTCAAAGTGAGCAAAAGTTGGAGTGATGCTTATAAGCACCAATAACTAGCACATATTCTGCGATCTCAAATTATCTTGTATGCCAAATACTGGACCGTTATGGATTTGGCTGCAGTTCAACGCAATGCAATCAGTCAGCCGTTCTGTTTGAGTGGACCCCATCTTTGAGCACTTAATAAGCTAGATGAAGACACACATCCCAACTAATCAATATCAAATTATTGGGAAAGGACCGTTCTCACATTGAGTACAGTAGAAAAGAACAAACTGCTCTTGCATGCAGATAACCTCTGCTGCGGTGGGGGATTTGTGCAGAATATCGGCCAGGTCAGCAACACATCTGGCTCCTGCCCAGGCTGTCCACAAAGTAACAGATAGCATCATGCTTCTGTCCTTCTCACTGCTTAAGGGAATCAACCCTCTTTAATGGACAGTTTTTTTGTGTGTGCGAATCACATCAGATGCACTCCTCTGAGGTTTTGCTTCATTTGGACAGGCTGTCTGTCTTGACTGACTGATTTATTCAGTTCTTAAAGAGGCCAGCATAGCTAATTTTGTTTGACTGAATGTTTCTTCTCTCAGCTCCAGCAGATCTGGAATGGCTGAGTAATCAGAGCTTCAGCAAACAAGATGCTTTGAAGACTCATCAGCGGGCCACAGAGAGAGTGCAAGCAGAGGCAGAAGAACCAGCAGGCACAAGGTCATCTGATCCTTTAAAGCGCAGTGTAGTTAATCACTGAATAAATTAACTTTATCACCTGTGGAACTTAATGTGTGTTTAAAGAACTTGCCTAATAGATTACAAAAGGTGATCTGTCAGTTATTATCTAATTTCAAGTTAAATCTTGTGAAAAAAAATAAAATATGCATGGACTTCAACCAAAGCTGAAGCTGAGTTAAAAATGTTTCATTGTCCTTCCAACATTAAAGTGTATTAATTAAAATTAAGACATGTACAAATAAATTAATCATAAATAATGTTTTTTTTAATGGCTATTTAATATTAAGTAAATAATACTAAACTAAGTATGCATGTACCTTAATATAGTACTATTATGCCTGTTAGACCAGGCTTGAAATGCAGTACCCAGTTTTATAAATATTTACACATATACATATTTAAACATTAAAATATTAACTTGACTGTAAAAGGTATATTTCTGCAGAGTGTCTGTTTATCAGAGGACACAGTGAACTTTTCTATGTCTATGCAGAGAGCAGAAGTGTAAAGAGAGAGAAGATAGCCATGGCAGATCGAATAAGAGAAAGAAAGAAAAGAAGAAAAAACAGAAGAAGAAGAAGAGCAGAGATAACTCGGAGAGCGGTGGATCTGAATCAGACACAGTTTACCCCAGCGACCTGCTAAAAAAGGAGAACGCTGACAGGTGTGTTTATAGAAAAATCCAGTACATTGTACATTGATCTACAGTCAGTCGCTGATATTTGTACCCACTTACATCTATATCAGGCTTAAAAGGCTTCACACATTTAATCTCTTAAAGGGACAGTTCACAGTATTATGTACTCATCCTCATGCTGTTTCAAACTGTATGAGTCTCTTTCTTCCACTAAACATTAAAGTAGAAATTTAGCAGAATGACAACACAGCTATTTTGGACACAACAAAAGCAGGATGTGTCTTTTTGTGGCATGTAATTTCAGTTTTTGGGTGAACTGTTCCTTTTGGGGGAATGCAAAAGATTTGCACGTTCTTTGCATTGTTGTTTGCATTGTTTTAGAACATTGAAATGCACAAAACATCAACCATAATTTGAGGCTGTCTATTTAAGACACTTTTAACCCTGGATTTTTGGATAATGGTGTGTGTTGTATTTTATGTCCTTGTCTTTCATCTTCTTGGCTGCAGAGAGGAAGCTCAAGTTCGGGTGAGCGAGACCTTTATGTGGCTGGATGACCTCCAGACCCCCTCTGACTCCCCCTTCTGTATTGACAGAAGAGCTGACCGTGCCAACTGGGAATACAAATCCCTCTATAGGGGAGACATAGCCAGGTAACTTTACTCACTGTCTCTGTGTGTCTGTCTGTCTCACACACAGATGCTCTCCTCTTTCATTCTTTCTGTTTGGCTCTCTGAAGGTCAGCCAGTCTCAGCAGTAGCAGCAGGTGCCAGACGCTCTATAATGCAGGAGTGCACTGCGACTGTGTGTGTACGAGAGAGCTGCAGTGTATATTGTGCTCATGTGTCTCTTTCAACTGCTTTTATAACTCCAGCTTCTGTTTGCAGAAACCCTTTGAAATCCACATGAAATTTTCTGTATCCCAACTCTCTGTACTTTTTGTCCTCCCTTTGACGCACACATTTTTTTTACTGTACTTCTTTTTTACTATACAGTTGCAATTAATTAAATGATTAACATGCATACTCCATTTAAATTTTGTTTAGTAGATAATATTTGTGTACTTTTTACTCAGAAAAAAGTGTGACATTTGCAAAAAAGGGATGTGTGAGACTAGTCGACTGAACTATATTGCTGCTGCTAGTTGACATTGGAAATACTTGTTTATGCTATTTAATTTCATTTTTTTGGCACATTTATGTTTTGCTTAATATTCTTACAAAAGATATGTTTAAATTACTGTAATGCTAATGTTACCTTTTAAAAATATTACATTGTTTATATATATATCTAAAATGTCCACTCGGAAGATGAGCAAGGTGAGGGAGTTTTTTTTTTGCCTACACAAAACTTTTTAGTTTTATTCTATGGCAAACTGGTAAATAACAATTAAGGTTGCTTATAGGCTTTTAAGCAGTATGAATTTTATACAGATTTAGGGGAAATACTATGAATGAAACTTACTTGACAACAACACTAGATTCTATATCAATACCCTAATGAATAGAATACCCTTAAATAATATATAGTTGCTGGTAAACATCAAGCTTTTCTTGCGATTATCTGTACAGATACTTTTCATACACGAGAAGTGTGTTCAAACACAGATGTGCAAAGCTTCTGCCATGAACGAACAGTACCTTGACGTGCTAACTTATGTTGACTAACTTTTATTTGAGGGATTCTGTTTATAATAGGCTACTGAGTTTGTACTTATTGGTCACTGCCTATTGATTGAGTTCATTTTAATAACTATGTCTATATTGGCTAACTTTATTAAGTCTATGCTTAAGTTTAATGTATAATGATTAGAATGCAAGGCAAGCTCATCGTATGTATATATATATAATATGACCTATTATTCAGCAGCATTCCATATGGGATTTGACTGGGATTTAATTAAGATTACAGTTTGAGTACATGGAGGGTGTTTACATGCATATCTTACACCAATTATGCTTAATAACTTGACAACATGTAATATGTAAATACCTTTTTTTAATGGTTTGAGTAAAACCATGTCAGGCAATATGATTTTAGCTGTTCCCCTAGTTTCGCTTTACATGTAAACACTTCTGTTAATGTGCACGTCTGTTTATGTTTTGATAGTTATCAGTTGAACGCACTCATTTTTAAAATGTTTGCCATTTAAAATCTTTAAAATAATTACATTTTGTTGCTTTGCAGCCTGGAAATGAAGACGGACACAGTTTTTGTTTTATCCTGCTGTATTAACAAATTATAACATCCAAGTGAAAGATATAACACCAACATGTCAGAAAAAAATTAAAAACCAGAATCACTGAGTGATTTTATCCACTGAGTTTTCTTTAATTACAGCCTTTAGTCGGTTGGGATTTGTCTCTACTAACTTTGCACATCTAGACAATATTTGCCCTCTTTTCTCTGCAGAACTTCTCAAGTTCAGTTAAATTTGATGGTGACCGTTTGTGGACTGCAGTCTTCAATTCATTCCACAGATTTTCAATGAGGTTTAAGTCTGGGCTTTGACTAGGCCATGCAAGGACAGTCACCTTTTTCTTCTTTAACCACTGTGTGCTCAGTTTTGCTGTGTGCTTTGGGTCATTGTCGTGTTAGAAAGCAGCCTGAAATCTTCTGCCAGAAAGTTGTCAATGGGAAGAAGGTTTTTCTTCCCATTGACAACTTTCTGGCAGAAGGCAGCAGATTTCCTCAAGAATTTGATGGTATTTTGCCCCATCCATTTTTTATTCTATCCTGACAAGTGCTCCAGTCCCTGCTGCAAAGAAACACCCCCATAACAGGATATTACCACCTCCATGTTTTACTGTAGGAATGGTGTTATTTGGATGGTGAGCTGTATTGGATTTCCGCCAGACATATCGTTCAATTTTAGTCTCATCTGCCTAAGAATCTTCAAGGTGCGTTTTGGCAAAGCTCAGTCGTGACAGGTGTATTTTGGCAAAGCTCAGTCTGACTGCATGTGCCCTTTCTTGAGGAGTGGCTTTTTTTCTTGTACCCCTCCCATACAAGCCACATTTGTGGATAATTTGTGATATTGTTGTCACATGCACACAATGACCACTCTTTGTCATAAATTCCTGCAACTGCTTCAGAGCTGCTGTAGACCTTTTGGTTGCCTCTCTGACCAGTTTCCTCAGGCTCTTTCATTCCGTTTGGAGTGACGTCCTGATCCAGGGAGGGTCTGTGTTGTACCAAATACCTTCCACTTCTTAATAACAGACTTCACTGTGCTTCTAGGCATTGATAAAGCCTTTGAAATTTTTTGTATCATCTTTGTATCCATTTTTTTGTACACGACTTGTGCCTGTCCACAACTTTATCCCAAAGATCTTTTGACAGTGCCTTGACACCCGTAGATGATTGTATGCTTCGGGACTGAAATGCTCCAGGAAAGCTCTTTTCATGCTGAGCTAATCAAAATGACCACGGATGATCACAGTTGAAAGTCAAATGGCTTTGTGTGCCATTGAGTTTACAAGTCATTTTAGGAAGGGGGTGATCCTTTTTCCAACTCAGTGATTCTGGTTTTTAATTTTTTTCTGACATGTTGGTGTTATTTCTTTCACTTGGATGTTATAAGTTGTACTGAGTAAATACAGCTGGATAAAACAAAAACTATGTCCCTATTCATTTCAGGCTGCAAACCCCAAAAGAGGGGTGATTGTTTTCTATACCCATTGTATTTGTTGATTGTCATGCTCAGCCAGCCATAAAAAAAAAATCAAGATGCGCACTGAGTGCCATGACAATGGCCAAGCGGTTCTTATGGCTCATTTCATTTATGCAAAACCAAAGCCTAAAACTTATTTGCGCTGCCTTGCAAGCACTGATGTTTCTTTCTGGAAATGTAAATCTAGTTTACTTTGATGTCAGCGTGCAGCTGTAGTTCTGTACCCCTGCTCTCCCTAAGCGTCGTTCTGGGTCTTATTTACTCCAATTTTCTGGCACCGCAACAAGCTATATTGAAGGGTTTATTAGCTGCTCAGAGGCAACAAATCTCACACCTGGCAGTTCTCCAGCTTCTATCGGCTTTAATCTGGTGTCAGATCTGCCATCTGTAACTTAATAGACCACAATCAATACTTGCATTCTCTCTCACTGTCCCTCTCTCCCGACATCCCCCTCTCACACAGATGCCCCCATACACACTCCTCTAAAGCTGATCGGTATCATGTGTGAAGAGTGTGTACAGAATGAGTGTACAGAGGTGCATCACAGCACTTTTTTCTTGAGAAGGTCAAGTGCTGCTCTAAAGAGGATACAAATCCCTCGTCTTCAATCTTTTTCCTTCACTTTCTCAAGTTATCTCATCCTCACTCAGACACCTGCCAACTCCTGTTTTTACTCTGTCCTTCATCTGTCAGTAGGCCCAGATGGAATCTAAAAAGTTTTGTCATATTTTCTGCACTGTTTTTGAGGAAAAAGCTCAGTGGTTCTTCACCAATTCAATTCAAACCTGTCATATTTTTCGTGCCACTTATGTTAACAACTTCTGCTTTTCAGGTATAAGAGGAAGGGAGGCTCTTGCCTGGGGTTAGACTTCAGGATGCAGGCTGTGAACTGGAATGATGGAGGTCCAGAGAAGAAGCGAGTGGACAAGAAACCCGAGCGCTATTTCTGTCCTTCCACCCGTCAGTTGCTCCGGTCAGATAGTCTGCCTGCTTTGCCTGTACTCTCTGAGGGCATTGCTGTCAGCTCTGATTCCTACATCAAGCTCTCAGCCTGCACTGTAGAGCAGGGCTCTTCCACCCAGGCACCCGTATCATGGGTAAATCCGCTGGGCATCTATGACCGTGGAACCTCTTTATGGCTGGAGGGCAAGGGTCAACCGGAGGTCAAGGGAGATCAGCAGGATGTTGAGGCTCAAAGGAGCAGCAGCACCCTTCTGAGTGCACGGGTGGAAGAGTTTAACAGGAAGCTACGGGAGAATCCTACGGACACCCAGCTGTGGCTGGACTTTATACACTTCCAGGTAGGCCTCCTGACAGGAAATGTGCCATTTTCATTGTTTCCCTACCTAACTCTAATTTCTCTCTCTTTGTCTCTGATCAGGATGAACTGGCCTTTGGTTCTGGGTCATTCTCTGCTGCCAGTGACACTGACAATGATGGTGACATGAAGAAGATGTCTCTTCGTGCCGTGCTGGAGAAGAAGCTGTCCATTGTGGACAGGGCAGTGGAAAGTAACCCTGCCAACGTAGACCTGAAACTGGAGAAACTCCACCTGTGCAAGGAACTATGGGAGCCTGCCACCCTGCAGAAAGAGTGGAAGAAACTAGTGTTCATCCATCCAAACAGCGCCCCTTTATGGAGGAAGTATCTTCTCTTCACACAGAGTCTTTTCAGCACTTTCTCAGTGTCAAAGGTCAACAGCGTGTTCGGAAAGTGTTTAAGCACGCTCAGTGCAGTCCAAGATGGCAGCATGGTGTCTCACCCTCCACTTCCAGGCACCCAGGAAGACCTCTTAGGTATAGTGATATTTTATACTTGTCAAATATAGATACTTACCAAATGTATCATGTGTTTAGCATCTATTAGACTCACCAGATAGCTTTTCCACCAGGTTCTTGTTAATGTCTCCTAGTGTCCTCAGATAATTTTTGTATTGTCATCGTTTGAGTTTCACTTGTTTAGATGTGAATTTGCAGCCGTAGGTTGTTTTTTCTCTCCCTCCCCTCATGTTGCTGTTACAGCAGTTGGCGGAAACTGTAAAAGTGTTTTGATTACATGCATAAATATTTGTAGAGTTAAGCACCTCATGTACAATTTGTGCAAGTGTACGTTTTGGAGTATGTTTTGGTCTGTCCACCCTTTGTGTGTGTGTGTGTGTGTGTGTGTGTGTGTGTGTGGATGAATGATCAGATTTTGAGCTAGGGCCCTTGCTGTTCTGTGTTCTCTATTACTGGCTTCTCAGTTATCCTAATTAAACAATAACCTCCATAGATCAGGTTAGTGTGCATCGTGTATCTGGATAAGCACTCCCTGGGCCCACATTTGCTGAACTGAGCTGAAATTTACACTCAATCATACAATACATTTTTACACAGATTGGGCCAGACTCATTATGAGGTCTATAGTGAAATGCAAATAAAGGTCTGACATTGTCATTGTGATGTGACGAGTCAATGTTGAATACACATCTGAGATGAGATTTCATTCTGAAACGAGTTGAACGGGATATAGTTCATCTAGAAAATATCAAGTCTGTTCATCATTTACTGACCCTCGTGTTGTTCTAAGCCTATTCTATGTTTCTTGGGTCAAAAGTTATACAGGTATGGAGCAACGTGTGAGTAAAAGATCATTTTTGGGTAAATTATTCTTTGAATTGCTCTGTGACTCTGTGCTGCCCACTTGTGTTCAGAGGTGGCTGTGCAGTATCAACTATGTGTAGATTTTAGGTAATATATGATACATAATTCAAATGAAACTAACTGTGCTCTCTTGTCTGGCAGATATCTTTCTACAGCAGTGCCATTTCCTGCGGCAGGCGGGTCACACAGAGAAAGCTGTGTGTCTCTTCCAAGCCCTTCTGGACTTCACTTTCTTCAAGCCAGACAGCGTGAAAGACCTGCCCACTAGACAACAGGTACACACACAAACAGAAAAGCATTAAAACCCTTTTGTAAAAGTTATTTCCTTTATTCTTTCCCTTTGAAGCAACATCATACAACTTCAGATGAATGTCTTTGGTATTCTGTTCCATTCAGTTGTGCTCTGTCGCACCCCAATGTGTCCAACTGGGGTCAGGTTGACCCAAACCCGCCTATGTATATCGGGCTTCTTTAAGACGGAATAATTATTATTCAATAACTAATTATTCAGGCAACTCAAAATATGTAGTTTTCACTGTGCAGTAAAATCATAACCCTGCATTTCATTTAAGATAAACATGGGATCTGTAGTAAAATATTTTACATTTTTAAAAGTATAGAACAGAGGCATAACTGTATGTACAGCAAGATGTGTTTGCGTGTTCATGTGAAACTGTGGTTGCTCAACCCTCGGTTTCGGTCACAGGATTTGCTGAAGAGGCATATTCGCATGCACTGTTGCTTTTTAAAACAAACTTTTTCTTCAACAGCAGAAATATCTGTCCTTTCAACAGCCATATACACGTTCTGCTGAGCAAGACCTAAAGAGTCCTAGAGAGTCAAAATGCTCCCTGTCCTATGCTTTCAACATGAACTTCATATGATCAGAAACTGATTGTTAGTTAATATTAAAAACATGATTCGCATTTCACTCTATGATAGACTGTGATAGTCATATTATACCCACCCCACATCCTTACTCAAAGTAACTGTGAACCTGCGTTCCTTTTGCATTTCTTATCCTTGAAATTTAGGGGACATCAATCAGTGACATGGCATGGTGGGTAGTGCACATCGCTCCTTCTCTAATCATCCAGTCAGCATGTGATTGGCTGACCACTCCTGGTGTCTTTCTATGATTGGTTGAACAAGTTTTTAGTGCTGGTTGGGTTTGGTGCTGCAGTATAAGGTACTTTTGACGCTCAGTGTTGAGTGATAACTGCAAATTAAACATGATTAAAAAACTTAATCGTTTCACTGAGTACACACTTTACAGCACTTTTATGTGAATGGGAGTGTTGCTGCTAGTGATTCTACAAATGGATCGCTCGTTGAAAACCTGGAAATACAAGTCTTTTAAAATCCAAGACTGGAAAAGTTACGGAAAATCATAAAATTGCAAAAAGGCATGAAAATCTCTATAGCAAATACAGATTTTTGTATGTAGAAATTCTATTTAAAACATTTAAAACATGTTTTAAATTCTTATCCAGTAATCAGAATCAGAATCAGAAAGAGCTTTATTGCCAAGTGTGTTTACACACACACACAAGGAATTCGTCTTGGTGTCCAGTACAGAAAGTACAAAAGTGCAGACATATAATTTAAGGTAATAAAAACACTAATAATAAAGAGAATAGACAATAAATTATAAATAACAGTATAGTAATAAAATATAGAGAAAAAGAAAAAATGTCACTAGACAGTAGACTACTGTCATGACTTTTCATGATTTGAATGAACAAATCATGAAAATCCATTAGTCAAAATGTGTGGGAACTTTGTATTTTTTGCTTTTATTTGTTTCTCTACTTGTATTTTCATGATATTTATTATCTTTGTGTGTCCAGGTGGATTTTTTTGAGCCTTTTTGGGACAGTGGAGAGCCCAGGGTTGGGGAACGGGGGGCTCGGGGATGGAAGGCTTGGATGCTTCAGCAGGAGAGAGGAGGATGGGTGATTCCATCTGAGCCAGGTGTTCAAACCAAACGCACGCACACAAAGATGTAGATCATTGCCAATGCACTGTAGTATAGCTAGTAGTTCAGCATTTGGTGCAAAGGTATTTCTGACTTTTCCGACTTCTGTTTTACACGGACATGGGTAATAGGGAATGCTTGTGACATCATGTGATAAAGATAAAACAAGGAGTTGACCAACACAATTTTGAATGCTCAATTCCAAAACATCAAAGCCAAAGTCTTTTTTTTATTGATTCTGAGAGCTAATATTACAGTGAACTCTGTGGCCCGCAGATGATGATGATGAAGAAGAGCAGGATGACTCCGAGATCAAAGACAAGACCTGGCCTAAGTGGAAGATCTGGTTGGATGTGGAGGCGTCCCGAGAGGCAAACCACTGGTTGCCATGGAGACCAGATAAAACCAAGGGCCAATCAGAAGAGGACTGTGAGGACCCCGACAGGCAGGTGCGATATTTGTTGACAATCTTTTGAGTTGGCCCAAATTAAATATGCAGATGATTTTTAATTTTTGTTCAAAATGTATTTCAACATGCTCAACTACACTGTGTGTTTATAGTTTAATGCATAGTCAAATGAGCTAATATTTGTAAGATGTTATTAATGTTCTGTTTGTGCTTAAAGGGGACATAACACACACAGTTTCTGCCAATCTCATGTTAATCTTGAGTACCTATAGAAGAGTATTGCATCCTTCATATCTCAGAGTCTTTAGTTTGATCAGATTTATAAAAGACAGATACAGCTTTACGCTTCTCTCTGAAAACAGTCGAGGTCCTGGAGGCATGCTGTGGGCGGAGCTAAAGAGTCACGAGCACGCAAAGCTATTAGGTGTGTTTGAATTGAAGCGGCGCTGTAACAGATCGATCAGTGTATGACATCAAAGTACCATGAGAGCTATAGAGAACAGACGGCTCTGCATGCTTTTGAATCAGTACTTCGATGTCAAACACCGATCGATCTGCGCAGTGCCACTTCAAGTCGAACACACCTTTAGCGTAGCAATCGTCTGCAAGCTGTGATATGGACATAAATAAAACAGGAACAAAACCTTTATTGACTTATTAAAAAAACACACTTTGGGAAGCTGAACAAGGTTATCTTTCCCTCACAACCAAAAACAGACTTCTCTGGTGAGATTGTTGATTTCTTGGTCTAAAAACAAAGTGACAAATCCTTCTCAAGCAAGTCCTGTGCAGCGCTGCTGACGACTTCCGGAACCGAATGAAGCACGTTGATGGGCGTGCTCTTGCTCTCGCTCTGGTTGATGTGTGCGCACGCTCTTCCCGGGAGAAGTGCCCATACAAGGAATTCCATCCTTTATGATGTCATACAGGGCCATACTCGAAAAAAAACTTTCAGAAACTTATATGAACCCTGAAGGAGTGTATTTGGCACAGAAATACTCTGTTGTACGTCCAACTCCTTTTTTGAAACTTTGGCCATGTTTAGCATGAGAATCCAACTCTTTAACAGAGTAAATAAGTCAGAATGCATGAAATAGCATTAGACCTCCCCTTTAAATCTCTTTCTGTCTTCATGCAGGTCTTGTTTGATGATATTGGCCCATCTATGATTCGTGTGGACAGACCAGATCTTCAGCTACAGTTGATCCTGTCCTTCCTGCAGTTCCTAGGTCTGCCTGGACCTTCAGGGAAGTTCTCTACAACATCTTCCTCAAACATTCTACTGGACAATCTAACCTTCCTTGAGGAGGGCCCAGACCCGGAGCGACCATTGACCTCTTATGACCTCCCGATGGCTGGGATCTGTGCAGTGGGTCACATGACATTTCTGAGTGACTGCAGGAGGCAGGCAGGGCTGTGTAAGGCAGGGGAGGAGTTTCTCCAGAACGTTCTACAGCAAACTCTCCAACTCATCTCCGCACAGGATCAAGCTGCTATTACTCTCTGCTGGCTGCAGTATGAGAAACTAAAGGTCTGTGTGTGAACAAATTCACAAAAAAACTAAATATAAATATACATTTTTGGGGGGGAATTGAACAGGTCATATTTCAGGCACAAACAAAAGCATTGTGGCATTAATTTAATAATAATATTATATTTTTATGATAATTAATCAAATCCCACCAATGCTAATATTAAATACAAAATAAATTATATATCATATAAAATGATATAATTGAATGATATAATAATATTTTTTACTATGTATTATATTTTTTTTGTATATAATAATAATAATATAATTATAATCCTATGATTCATATGAATTATATGAATATAATATATAAATTCTCATTTTACGGTCCTGACATTTCTTTAAAGTTATTGTGAGAGCCACCATTTTTTGCGATTCTTTACTTCCATGTTTGTGTTAGTCTGCAACCACCTTATTTGCTTTTCTATTGTAGGTACTGAGATGTTTACGCAGTGGAAATAAAAGGCAACTGAAGTCTCAGGGGAAGCGTAGTAAACGGCTAGTGAAACGACTGCTAAAAGAGCCAGATAACAGGAGCAGCCTGGCACTCTGGAGAGAGTATGCCCATCTGGAGTGGCTTCTGGGTAATCTGGAAGAGGCACGCAAAGTATTTGACACTGCCTTGGGCATGGGCGTGACTAGAGGTCTTAATGATCCTGTTCTCTGTAATCTCTGTTTTCTCTATGCCCAGTTAGAGGTAGAGCAGGCCTTAAACAGTGGGACAGTCCCCACTTCCAAAGCTGTCTACATTCTCACTAAATTAGCTGAGGGTGCTGCCTACACTCCTTTCTCTGGCCAAATCAACCCAGTGACCATACTGAAGGCCAGAAAGGCCTATGAGCAGGCCCTATTGAGCTTTTTACCTGAGCAGAGCACAGGCAGCAATGCTAGAGCTCCAAAGAAACTCCACAGAATGTCCAGCCTGGTTGGATGTTTTGGGCTTTTTCAGTACCTCACAATGGGGATAGATGCAGCTGATGCTGTGTACAATCAGGCCATCCAAAAACTGATTTCCTGGAACTTGAATTCAGAAGTGACAGATGGATCTCTGAGGAGACCCAAGGTCTTTGCAGACTGGGAGTCTGTTGCTGTCCAGCATGTATCACTGCTGCGCCACCACGCCAACACCAGTGTGTTTCCTCTCTCCCGGCTAAGACTGGCACTTACAGATGCCCTCTCCTTACTGCCCTCCAGTGCCTCATTATGGCAACTCTACCTTCAAACAGAGAACCGCTATCACAGCGCAGGCCGTGCCCGCAGGTTTTTCCACAGTGTGGCAAAGAAAACTGACAGTGTTGTGCCATATCTTTTTGCCATTACTGCAGAGCAACGACTCAAACAGATGCTGGACTCTGTTCAGAGGTGAGGAAAAAAACAGTTCTTGTTAGCTTTACTGGACTTTTGTTTGTCTTTTTTTTTATTTTCTTTATTCTTTTTCTTTATGCTCTCTTTTTTGTTTGTTGGTTCCATTTTTTTTTTCTTGTCATTTCATTTAGTTTCTACGACAGCGTTTTAGTGCCACGTTAATTATTATTTTTTTAAATCTAAGATTACGAGATTAAAGTCGTAATATTTTGAGAATAAAGTCAAAATTCTGAGAAATTTAAGTCGTAGCAATTATGAGATTCAAGTTTCTAGTTTTGTTAATCTAGTAATCTAATAATGTTAATCTAGTTTTAAGTTTAATATTTTGAGAATATAGCCTATATTGCACATGCAAATGGCCCGGATTGGGAGCACTGGGAGAAATTCCGGTGACCTGGCAACTGATTTGAATATATGTGGGATTATTAACAGAAATCATACTATGTGTCATATTTTGTTTCTTGTTTAGTTTTGTGTGTGAACACTTCTGGCAAAGCTCAATCTAACACATGATAGCTAATGTGTCAAAATACGTTACAAAATGTGACACAAGTGTGCTGAATTCTCAGCGTTGCAGCAAAGGTCACCATAGCAGCCTTTTTGATATATTCTCTTACAGTCAGTGATCTCATTCAGGTCACTCGACAGCCCATGGTGGAAGAACAGTTGGTTGAGGTTTTTGCAGAGCCAGTTAATTTAAGTTAGTTCAAAGTTAGCTACCTGAGTAATAACACTAATCTGGTTTAGTAGCAATGATCTGGTTTAGTAACTGATGTAATCTTTGTCCTAAGGTCTCGTCTTCCTAGAGAAGCCCTGCCCACCCTGCCAAATAATGGTCTTAGCAACCGTATCCGCTGTCTGTTTGAAAATGCTACGGCAACAGAACATGGGGCCCATTGTCCTCTGCTGTGGAGAATGTATCTGAACTTCATGGTAAAGTTGTAAACGCATTACATTTGAGGAATGTTCAGAAATAGCTACAGGTACAGGAGTGTGAGCTGTTTCCTTGTGTGTTTTCTACAGGTATGTGATGGGAATGCAGAGAGGGGCAGTGGAATCTTCTACAAGGCCCTACAGGCAGTGCCCTGGGTAAAGGTAAGATTCACTATACTTGCACAAGGTAATGAGAAGCCTGTTACTGTGAAAATGTATGCACACTTAACACTTACAATTTGTGCATGTGTGTGTATCTGCAGGGCTTGTACATGGACGCAGTGCAGCTGTTTCCTGAACGTGTGCAAGAGTTTTTAGACCTTATGACTGAGAAAGAGTTGCGTCTGAGAGTGCCCATGGAGGAGGTGGACATCTTGCTGGAGGACTAGCCATCAAAACCCTTCCCATAACACACTAAAAATCAATAACCACTGCCCAATAACCAACAGAAACGAAACAGTCTCTCTGAACAACAGCTAAGCAAAAATTATTTAAAAAAAAATATATATATATATTTTTATGCATTGTTTAATGTTTAATGTTCCATGATTTTGGGAATAAAGAATACAATGAGTATTAAGTTTTTTTGTCGTCTTTGAATAGAATGTTTGTAAGAATTTATCATGGTTTGTTTGTAGTATGTTTCAGTTAGCTGAGTGACCTTGATGGTTCGAAAAGGAGATACAAGTTTAAAGCCAGCTACAATCAGCAGATTTTTGTTTTGTTTGTTTTTTGGCCAGCAGAGGGCCAAATACCAATACCTTCTCTCAATGCTCTTGGTGTTGTTGTGGTTTGACCCTCGAATTTACATTAGGATTATCTTCATTGAACATCCATTGAACTGATACAACATTATTGCATTCAATTCTTCATCCAAATTGTCCACATGTATTCAATATGCCAGTGTAAGTATGCTGTAGTGACAGGAGTGATTTGTTTGGACCTTTATTACAGTAATGTTTGGGTTTGCTATGTGTCTCAAAAAGTATGAGATGGAACTTATGTCATAATGAATTATGAAATGTTACCCAACAGCATCTTTGGGGCGGGTACGGCAAAACTAAAGTTTCTCCACAGTTAATTATTTTCATTATACTGTGACAGGTCACAAGGAGCTGACTAAAGGGCTCTGAACAACATGGTACATCATAACTCTTATCTAAACAAAAGATCCAAAGAACCATCATCTGCTAGCTCTCTTCAAGCTTTCTGGACCTTTTTGTTCCTTACCATATTGTGTATAAAATGTGATAGATTATGAGTAACTTATTTAATGTGAATTTTCATGAACATCAGTTTGAACATCTTCAAAGAGATTACTTTATGTCCAGTGTATACCCTCATAATTATAGATAATGAATATACTGCTCATTTAAATACATGATTGTACTGTAATGTATTAGTGGATTCAGTTTTTTATAAGATCGTCTTTCATTCATCTGCCATTGTATTTAATATGTGGTAATTCCTTCAATGAAACACTTCAACTGAACATTTTACACTGTAGTTACTAAGTGTGGCAACATGTCATTTGAGGGTGTTACACATACACAAGCATTATCCCTGCACTGCTTTTCTTTGACTTAAAGGCACAATATGTAAGATTTTTTTAATTAAAATATCCAAAAACCACTAGAACGGTAATATATTTTGCTGACTTGTGTACTTACATTATCCCAAATGTTTCGAAGAATGTTTAGCTCCAGAGAAATAGGCAATTTTAACTAGTGACACGGACCATGTCTATAGTGTCATTGTGTCGCCTGCCAATGACGTCATAACCCCTCGATTTCCGGTTTTGTAGAAAACATGGAAACACCAAAGACGCTTTAATATGTTGTGCGTTTTAATAGACCGGTGACGACCGCACAGAGTAGCATTATAACAGAACTTTCAAATGTATCTAGTATGATAAAACAGCGCTGCTTTTTTTTTCCCACATTAGCACGACCGGAAGGAGCGGAAGCGGTCGACTGTGGCATAATAAAAGCTCCGCTGCTTTCGAGCCGTGTGTCACGCTCGTTCAGCGGCCTCGTTTCGCTTCGATGGCTTTCAGCCTCACCCTGCTTCATTCTACTACCTTAATAAATCATTAGCTCATCCAAGAACATGATTTCTGCCGGAGTCCTGTCGGATTGCATTGGCTGTGGGGATGAAGACGACAACTCCCATGATTCCACACTCAGTCACAGCATCATCAATCTATGACTTTGTCTATTTGTTTATTTTGAATACGCGCCCTCTAGCGGCGAAAATTACATATTGTGCCTTTAAAGAAGACGTCTTATGACCACTATGCTCTTTGTCCATGTTGAATCAGAAACGAGATTACATATTATTTCAGTTAATGACATTATGATCTTCTCGGAGAGTATAGTTATAAAGGATCAATATTCGTCTTTTTGGACAATTTTACTTGAATAAAGCAAAGGTAATGTCTATTAACCATACGTTATTTAGAATAATTTAAAAGTGATTCAAAACTGGCTTATGACAAATGACTCATAACCAGTAGTTAATTATTTCTTTATTTTGGGAAAAAAAATCGTGCATAAATGAGATAAATAATTTGCCTTTAGTTTTGCTTCAGAAGGAAAAAGAGACCTTTGTTAGCTAATTTTATTACTTGTATGGACAGTTTTTTAAATAGTATTTCCCATTTGTTATAACAAAAACAGTCACACCAGTTGTGTTTTGCAATACAGGAAGTAAAATATAGTTTATATGTTAATATAGTTTTAATCATATCACGAGATGTATTTTAGTAATTTGGAGCAAAATAAAAAGGAGTGGCATTATTTTGTGAAAGAACCCCATCTGGTGGTGTATTTAACAAATATTTTTATTACCATTTTCTTCCAAAACATCTTGGGTTACATCCACAATAATTGTTCATTTCATCTGTCTTCTTCCATTAATAGCACAAATTCTGATAGATAAACAGTAACTGTAGCTGTTATTGGTGTGCCCTCAGTGTGATGCTCAGCCATACTCAGTTCACGTGCTACTTATAACATCTATCTGTAAACGTATTTGTAATTTGGCAAACAGTCTAAACCAGTTGATGAAATCTATTATATATCGTTTGATGTTTTTTTTAAGTTTTTGTAAGTCTGTGACTGTGTGTTGACTGGGGGAAAGGCCACGTCAGGCTGCCTCTGATCAGTGTTGCCAGATCGCGCTAGAAAAACAAGCCACCATGACAACACAAGCCCCAAACAAACGTTAAACCGCTTAACAGAAATTACAAAAAAAATTGCTTGAATTCATTGAAGTAATGTATTGTACAATGAACTTGCAAAGCATAAATTAAACAAGGTAAAGCTGCATTTTAATACCGACCATCAGAAAAAAAGGATTAATCAAACTATTTCTTCTACCTATGGTAAAAGGGAAAAGTGTGTACTTATAATTTGGGGTGAAGCTCCTCAGCTCAGAAAGAGAAAACAAATGACAGTAATTTATAATATTAAAACATGAACTTTACTGGACAACATATTTTATTTGATTTGATTTATTTGCAAATGAAATAGGTAGGTATTTCGTGAGGTATAGACATACAATCAGATTTTTTTATTATAAAACATTGATTATAAAACACTGAAAGCAAAACAAGCAAATATATATATATATATATATATTTATTTATTTATTTATTTATTATTATTTTTATTTTTTTCCAATATAAAAAATATATTGAAAAAAAACAAAACATATTTGACAGCTGCTATTAATGGTCAGTCATACGTTGGTGCGGTATGGGACCAAGCTATCAAGTCCAGATATTCTGGAAATAAACATAAAATGCAACCAGCTACTCCCTCTATCTATGTGCAACTTTATAAATAAAACAAGCCTTTAAAAAAAAAAAAAAAGTGGACATGGCAACACCGCCTTTGATCAACCACGTTCTACTGTTCTGCAGTACCGCCATGTGGCCGCGAGGGGCGACAGAGAGACGCAACACACTCGTCCAATGACTCGTGGCCGTTCGTAGTATTTCCTTTTATTTAGGTGAGTTGCAGATCGGCTAAATCGAGGAGTGGGTCGAAAACATTGGTAACGTTTTTATTTTTTTCGTTTGGCTTACTGTAATCGGTGAGTGTGATCGCACAACATGGCTTCTTTAAGGGATCGAGCATTTTGACATTTAAGAACACGAAAAAGTCCGATGCAGCTCTCCGCCGTGTTTCAAGCTGCTGGCTGTCAATTTGTGCTCTAGCTGCAACAGCTTTGACCGAGTCTTTTTCTTCATTTGCGCTGGAAAATAACTATTGCAAGATAGTGAAAAATAACAACGCGAGGGTGTTTGTGCTTTTGAACCATGACCACTGAAGTTGCGAGTGACTTGGACGTGACAGTCAGTTGTTTGGGCGAAGGGAACCAAAACAAGTCGGACACGGATCGACACAGGAAACCTGATCGAGCGAGCCACGAGGAGGGACAGCAGGATCCTCCTCAGGTCGACTCTAAACATCTAAAACAAGGGGTCATGGAAAGTAAAGCGGATGGGTTAAGCACGGACAACACGAACGACAAGGAGAACGAGCAGAATGCATCAAGCCACAAAGCAGAAACTGCCAAGAAAGTGATCGAGGCTCCTCCGCCAAAAGTGAACCCGTGGACGAAGAGGAACGCGTGCCCTCCTAGTAATGCCACCAACAGCTCGCTACAAACAGGTAGCGAGTTTATGCTCACAACAGCACACATATTTATGCCTCCAACAGCGTTTATTTTCATTCACACATTTGCTCTGTTAGCTCCATCGCATGTGCTACTGCAAACAGGTGCGGCCATTAAACTCCTGTCAGTTCACTTTTATGCCCTTTTTCGCGTGATCGTGCACCTGTGCTTTGAAACATGATAACTGCGGCTATTCTCTCAATTGATGTTAATTAATAAACTTTGTGCCCATATCCGTAAAGTGTGTTTTTCATACATGGTCAGAGAAACGGACCAATCAGTGGCGGGGGCGTGGTCTGTTAGCTTTAGCACCGGTGATGGGACGTCCGACTCATTTCACCGAGTTGGTTCTTTTGAGCAGTTCGTTTGATTAAGTGATTCAGTCATTGTTGTACGTTATAACGTCGTCCTTGGCAACCTGGCGTGACATAATGACCTAAAACATTTTAATAAAAACGTATGTGGACATTTGCTGTTCATTAAAGTTTTATTATTAAGAGTGTTTATTGTAACTTGTTTAATCACAGTTTAGTTTGTTCTTGTGAGCTGAATAAAGGGTCCAAACAGTAAACTATAATTAGAATTTACATTAATCGGTTCTAGAATTACTGTGTGTAAGCACGGTGATAAAACTGGCATTAGATAAAGCCGTTAACATATTTCCAATACGCTTTGTTTGTAACATTACGATTCGTAAACAATTCAGAGATCGCTCTGTTCTCATTGAAAAGATCCGACTCTTAATTCATTCACGAATCGGACATCACTATTTAGCAACGCGCTAACACGTCAGATCGTTTCATCCTCTAAAGCGGTATAAAGCAATGAAAGTCAAACCACTCTGCTTTATCCACTCATGTGAAATGCTCTATAAGTGGTTGTAACCGTCACTGCAGTGTTTTAGGCTTTTAGTCTCGGAGCCTCGTTTGTGGTTTGGCTGACATATGCTGTGCTGTCCTGGCTCGCCTGATTAAAAACACGGCTGTTGATAAAAGTTAGATAATACGTAAAACACACATATAAGAACCTGTCCGTATCATGTTACTCATTGGTACTTATAGAGCTTGTTGTAATAGGTTTTGGGCTAGTTTAAGTCGTTTTAGTTAGGTTAAACATGTTGTTGTCAGGAAGCCCGGAGTTTTTTTTCCCATTTGTGATGTTACCAAATATGGTGGTAGTGGGAATAAACGCCCATCAAAAACGCCCGTTCCCACTTGATTCTAACGACAGACCCGTGTGTGCCTCGATAATTTGGGTGTATGTGGTCAGACTTGCTGATGTGGGCAGATTTAACCCCTCTCCCCACCCCATCTGTTCGCGTTGAACGGGAGCACGTGGAGTGCTGAGCACTGCAACTCCAGCAGGAGCTCATGAGAGGCCTTTGCACCCTCACCGCTCTACGCTGGAGTTTCAACCCCACTCATACAACTGCTAAACACTTCATCAGTACTTGAACACTTGGTTTTTGGATCCTCATAGTGTTTGTGGTAGTGTGCAGCTCACCTGTTGAGCTGACCTTATGAAAATGGTAGGTTTAAAGTAATGTAATATTAGACCACTCCCTAAACTGAGTATTACTGTGTATGCTGATAAGACCATCTAATGGGTTTTGTTCACATGAGAGTGTTAGGAACGTGCCTATGCATGTACATTGTTGTTTAGGGTGTTGTTTTTAGAATTTTTTTAAAGATGTTAACATTTCTCCTATCCCAGCTTAATAAACAGAGACAACTATAATTTAGCTATTCGTCGTATAATTTCCCTGATGAGGTGTAAATACTGTGGCACATTGTTCTGTTTTAATTTCAAATAGATCGGCTCCAACAATGCCTTGGGCTCGAACAATGCCAATGGTTTTGGGCGACACTATATGTTTGTTCCGACTATGGTTGATGGGCGAAATGTTTAGGAAACCTGTTCGAAAACAGGTAATGTTAATGCCTTAAAAGAAGGCATTTCACCTTTAAATAACTTGGTTTGAATAACTAAACATTACTGACAGTAGTAAGGAAATCACAGACCAGAAGAGCAAGATATTTGCAGATGTACAGTTTTGTTCATAAGCTTGTTGTTGAGAATCTCAGAATTTCAGGGGCTGATCGAAACAACTTTAAGAAAGTTTGTGCATCTCAGAAAAAAAGATGCTTTAGGTCATCATTCAACTTTGCAGTCTTTTTCCTGCAAAATTTTGCGGACAAAAAAGGTCCATTGTCTTGTCAATAGCATATAAAAAGGAAAGCTCACACAGAAGTCACTTAAAACCTGTTGGCCAGCGTGGAAAATTATATGACCAACTTGAAAATGGCAAAATCTGCATGGAAGACTTTTTTTATTCACACGTGAAACTCATCTGTGAAATTTCACTAAGCAATGGTAAAGATGGCTGTACCTTTATGTGTCTTTGGATACCAGCTAGACTAGTATTAGTTTGATTGGATGGGTTCCCACCTGATACCTAAAGTACACAGTTTATTAGCAATGCATTAAAAGTTAATTTTGTTTTTACTGAAATTAAAGTGTTAATTTAGCCAGAAACTGAAACCAAAAAATAAAATTTTTGTAATTAAATTTGGGTGATTAAGTAACTGAACTCGGTGTGATGTTCAGGGTGTTATGTTCTCAGGTGCTGCATTAAACCAGTCATAGTAAAGTTCTTTCAGCCTCCTTTCGATTTTTCAGCTGAACAAATTTCTACACATTGCTTCTCTAGCATCATTTTTGGTCACAATGAAGTGTGTCCACACTGCCAACTTGTTTACCTTTTGTCACTGTTGTGGGCATGAAATGGATGCTAACAACCTTTTTGTTGTTGTTGTTGTTTGGCTGATTATTTTCAGTTGCTGAACTTTTGGACTATCACTGCCTATTATTTTTTTGTTTGTTTGTTTGTTTTCTCCTTTGTATCCAGTATTGGGTGATAGACATCTTGTCAAATAGAGATGATGTTTTCAAGCCACTCCTGGGCAATCAGTGTTGTGTATGGTGATTAAATTCCTCTGTGTCAGTCTTCGAATGATTAAACCCCTCAGTTGAATTACTTTCCGTTGAGTGGGCCTGTCTGAATTACATGGCCAATTTCCTGTTTTTCCTCAAATAATAATGAAGGTTCATTGGACTTAATTGAAATAAGTTCTGTAAATTTAAGATGTTGTTGTAGTAAGGTGAACTTAAAATGATTGCGTTTTCTAGTTCCCAGCATGCTTTGCATCAGACAACAAGGAAAATAAATGTAGAAATTAAGTGTTATTTTGTGTGTTTTTACACAAGATTAACATAGAGAGACATAAGTTAGTACTTAAATGTTGTGTTATGTTAGGATTTACATGGGTTTCTGTTAGGGCTGCACGATTAATCGCATGCGATATTTAACGCGCATCTTGTCAGAAAGCCGGTTCTGTAATCAGCGGTAAATCTCCATCACCTGCGTGCTTTCACATTGAGCAGCATTAACTACACAGAGCCGTTGTTCACTGACGAGCTGCGCAAAAAATCGCGCGA